TTTTTTGAGCTATTTGTATATTCTAGATATTAGTCCTTTGTATAAAGAGTAGCTGGCAATTTTTTCCTGTTCTGTAGTTTGTCTCTTCACTCTGGTAATGATTTTCTTTGCTGTGCAGAAGCTTTTCTTTTTCAAAAATGAAGATGACCTCAGGAGAGGGGAGAAGGGGAGAGGAAATGGAAGGAAGAAAAGTTCAGATATGCTATGTATATGTACCAACTTCCCAGTATGATTATAATTATTATGGACTGCAAATGTGTACAAATAAAAAATTAAAAGATTTAAAGAAAGAACCTTGAGAAATGTCTACTTTAAGGAAACAGAAGGAGCTACTTTCATAGGAAGTAATATTGGCAGAAAAGGGTGTTATCATAGTAACTATCACAAATATAAAGGGAGTGGTCAACCATCTCAGATGACCAAAATGCAGCAGAGGATGAGGTTTGAAAATCAGGTTATCTTCAAGAAAGCAATAGTGCTATTGGAGAAAGCAATTTTAGTATACAGAAATTGTGGAGGCCTATCAAGACGAAATGAGAACACACAACAAATGTATTCACAGTGTACTGCAAACACATACTTATAAAAAATTGACCAAAAAAGAGGGAATGAATGAGCATTACTTTTCTGAAAAAGATATTGGTCAAAAGAAGGAGATGTGGTAGCTAAAAAAGGAGAAAACAGAATCTTAGAGACCCTGGGAGAGTGGTATATGGAGGGAAAGCAAAGGCAGAAAGGAAAGCTAAAAGGGATTGGATCCCAGGTACACATAGAAGTGACTTCAGGAAAACAAGAATATGTCTTTCTCCTCAATGAGCTGTAAGAAGTAAAAAATGAGGAGAGATTTTTAAAGTGTAGGGGAACTTGGAGAGATCATAGTGGGTAGTTGTCTTGGTCTTCTCCATAAATATTGGAATGAGTGAGCATGAGAACAAGAGATTCAGAAAAATGAAAAGATTTGTAGAATTTGATTAATATAGCATCATTACAAAGATTGGGAGGCCTACTTGAAATTAGATAACTTGATAACTTGAACTTGTAATGAACAAGTCTTTTAAAAGATTTTCTCCAGCACAGCTTTGTGGCCTGGGAACAGTAAAGTTAATGTTGGGGATTATATACTTTATTAGATGTGAGAACTACTGCCTGAAGTTTTAAAAGTAACAATTAAAATGATAAGATCAGCCATTGTGACAACACCTGTTAATTTTTAGACTGAAACTGGCACCAATCCAAATGTGCAGATTGAACAAAAGAGGCTGCCAAAGTAGTAGAATTATATAGAAGCTTATTTGCTCAGAAATCTTAACTTCTGGTCAAGGTTAGTTTGCTAATTTGTTTTGCTTGGAATGATTTATTCATATTAATATTTGGCCAGGAATTTAGCTCAGTGGTGCCGCCACCTGCCATGCAAGCACAAGGTCCTGGGTTCAATCCCTGGTACCAAAAAAAAAAAAAGACATATTAATATTTGGTTTTACTTTTTTTTTTGCTTAAATTCTTTTATTGGTACATTTTAGGTATACAATATGTTTACATTTATCATTGGGTACTTGTACCTGTACATGATGTATCTTGGTTCTTATTTTTTCCCCATTCCCTGTCCTCCCTTCACCCCCTCCACCCTTCCCTATTTACAAATACTTTATTTCCATTTTTTCCTTTTCTAACAATTTTTCCTTTCCCTTCTTACCTTTCGCCTTCCCCTCCAACTTCCCCTACCACTTTGGACCTTTTCTTCCTGGCTTTACTTTCTTATAGATTGGGGAATAATAATCTTCTAAATTTGAGAATTTGTAAAAAATAAGTCATTTCAAATAATAAGACCTAGTTACACTTTAAAAAATCAAAACTTTAATTTTTAAATCAACTTTCTTCTTAAAAACAATAATAGTCCAGTACTGACAATAAGCTCTAGTTTACAAAGAAGAAATCTTCGTGCTATTAGTATATTTGTTTTCTCCCTCTTAGAAGGTGTTTTGATCCTTAAGATAAAAAGGTATATCATCTATTCTCACATAATCATCTGTTGATTCACTATGTAGTATTCAAAATCTATAAAGTACTTACCTTCAATAAGCCTATTTTTACATATTTTAAACTTAATAACCTAGAAATGTTATAGTAGGATTTTAAAAAATTATTTTAAATATAGTGTGGATTTAAAATATTATAACACTACATTATTAAAAACAAAGACATTTCAATATTAAACATACAACTAAGAACGTCTTAAAATACATTATTTTGTTTGATCTAAGATATACTACCTTATTATCCTTGGGACTAGCAAACTGAACTTTAGAGTAGGTTAATGACTTACCTAAGTTTCCACTGCACATAGACATTGAAGGAAGAACAGAAATAACATTTTCCCCATTAGACCTGGTCCCACTGATTTTAGTAATCAAACTCAATTGATTTGTAATAGTCCAAAATCTAATCCACATTGTAATTCTCACTAGTTCACATCTCTGAAGCATTCATGCATTCAACTCCGTACCCCTTCCTGAAAAATTCTCCTTTTAATTTCTGTAATATTTTTGTCTTCTGATTCTCAGTCTCTTAGGAGTTGTTTAGTTCTGCCTTTGGTCCTCACTTGCCTTTTTGGAAACTGCTTGGTTTTAACTAACACTTTTAAGTAAGTGGTCCTGAAAACTAGTTCCACAGCCTTGAACTACCCTACTTAGTTCCAAGCCTGTGCTTTCAACTGTGCTGGATGGGTATACCTCATTGCTCACACTTTTGTGTGCTTGTATAGGGTGCTGGAAATGGAACCCAGGATTTTGCACATGCTAGCCATTGCTCTCCCATTGAACAACCTCCCTAGACTCTCCAACATTTTTGTTTGAATATCTTTGATAGTTCTTAGAAATCATTTAATGCATTTTAAAGGGATTAATATGTGTTATGAGGAATACAAATATGAATTAGAGAATCTGAGTTGGCCTTCTTGAAATTGGACAACTAGATCTTAGTTCGATTCTTAAAAGAAGCACATAAAACTCAGTGTCTCAGGTTCAAGATCTCAGAATCATCTTTAAAAAATGTTGTTCTTGAATTTTAGGATAATCTCATAACTCTTCTCCTCACTTGTATTCTTTTCTCTAGGTAATGTTCCTGAAATATACTTCTGTTAACCTCAGCTACTCTTTCATTCTTTTAAAAAACTTAAAGGTTTTGTTTTTGTTTTTGTTTTTGCTAGTTACAAAACCAAGCTCTATCAGCCAAACATATTCCCTACAAATAAGCTACATTTTTCTAAATTTGGCAATTTTAAGTCTTTTGTTTCATTTGCTTGGAATACTATTTTCTTTCATCTCCTTATATCCAAAGATTACCTTACATTTCTTTCAAAAGACATCTGATCTAAGTATCCTACTGAGCTTTACCAGATAGAGCTCAGTGTTTCCTTCTCTGAACACCATCTGTAAGGTTTTTTTATGTTCCTCTACTGGCACTAGTCATTTTCTACTTTGTGTGATAGATGTTTGCCTTCATATATTATCTAGATCATGGATTTACAAAATTTCCTGTGAAGACCCAGATGATAAAAATTTTATCGTTGCAAGACACAGAGGGCCTTGGATCTTTTTTATTTACCATCCTTAAAAATCTAAGTATCATTTTTAGCTTGAGGAGAGTACAAAAAAAAGAAATCTGCCTGCCAAGTCTTAAGAAATCTGATCAGTATCAAGTGTTCCTGATAATGTCTGATTCATGTTTATATGCCACATAGCAGTTAACAAAGTACATTGTGCTTATAAAGCAATGAAACATGTGTTACATGATTGCATATAACAACCAGAGACTCTTTAAAAAATAACTAACAAACACAAAATAGATTTTATAGGAATCTTTCTAAATATACTCCATCTTTAGATTTAATAATTCATCAAGTAATAAAATTTAGTCACTTGTACATTTGTTTTACCACAATATCCAAGGACCAGCTACTTAAAACACTCCATTCAAACTTCAATACGAGAAGCATGCAACTTTTGGTTGAACAGTAACATCTCTTTTAAACAACCAGTGTTTTATTCCAATTGGTCTAAGAATATTTACAGTAGTATACTTCAAAAGTGTTAGTGAATTTTGTTGACTTTAAAATGTTCCCAAACACATGAATTGGTAATGGCCCTGGCTATAACCACTTTATATTATTCTCCTATATTGAAAAATAAATGAATGCAATTCTTATTTTGTAACAAAACAACCAACAAAACAATCCCAGCTCTGACAAGACTCAAGTGAAAACCAAAAGAAGGAAAAAGATTGTAGTATATGTCACATTTATTTTTAGACTCCTGGTCAGATTTTTAGTCTGTCTCTGGTTTCAGTCAGGCTTTGGACATGTCACAAGCCTTTATTTAATTGGCTGGCATCTTCTAAGCAATTGAATAATCCTACAGCAATTTAGTTGATTATACCAAGATACGCTGCCTCTTAAAGCTTCTACTCGGTCCTCAATATTTAAAACATATGTTGTACTGAGAGTCTCAGCCTTGATTAAAATCACAAGAATTGTATACTTTAAGCGCACCCAAACTGAGTACTGAAAAAAAATCTTTAATATAGTTCTACCTACCTTTTGGCTAAGTAGCTCTGGAATTATGTTTATTTTGTAGTTCTCTAATTTTGCATAGAAACTTGTCAATGAACCCAATGTAAATGAGGTTGACCTCAGGTTTGTCGACTTAGAGGAAAAATTGTATCTTGCCTTAGGAACGGAGAAAAAAACTTTCCTATCCTCTTCCAATCTCCCCAAAAGACCTAGTAAAAGGGAGAAGGAGAAATTCAGATTGTCCTCTTTGATAAAATGGACTATAATTATTACTACTTCCTTCTATCTATCTGAACATTATTTAAATGTCATTCCACCCTCCTCCTGAAATCTGGTACTACCTCAAAGGCTATTAGAGCTTTGATATTTCCTTAATTTAAGGTTTATTTGGAAATATAATGTTTTTAAAACATGGTCTTTACTGTCTTTATAGGAACCACTGTCTCCATTCATGAGAGGAAACCATTTCTTCCCTGGAAACAATGTTATTTATGAAAAGACAATAAGAAAAGTGGAAAAGCTAAACACAGATCAAGTAAGTGGCATTTGTTTTAAAATTTATAAGTGTAAAATTTTGAATTATGAATATTTTAACATAGTTATGAAAAAATTAGAAAAGTCAAAAAGCCAAATATAAATCAGATAAAAACTTTATTTCATAAGTAGAAAATTTAGAATTATGGTCTTTTCAATAGAGTTGAAATCCCATTCAATTTTCAAGTACCAGGCAAGACCACAAGTTACAGTATGTCATTATGGCTACAGCTCTTCATGCCATCTTCAATACTTTCATATTCATTTTATCATGTAAAATATTGTCTGTATTTTACTGAAAGGGCAACTGATGTTAAGATATGTGAAGTCAGCCAGGCATGGTGGCACATGTCTGTAATACCAGCACTTAAGAGGCTGAGGCAGTAGGATCACTGTGAGTTCAAGGCCATCCTGGACCTACATAGTGAGTTCAAGACCAGCCCAAACTACATAGCAAGACCCTGTTCAAAAAAAAAAAAAGATATGAAAAGTCATATAGAAAATTAATGGTAGGATCTGTACTTTGTGCACATATCTCAACATATTGTGTGTTTTATTTTAAACTGATCTCACAAAAATAATTTAAAACACAGTTTTGTCCCCATTCTTTTAGTATAAAATGAATTTTAAATGAACAATATATATGAAAAGATATGTAAAACTATGTATATTCTGAAAGATCTAGAAAACCAAAGCTTCAGGTCACATTCCAAAAATTCTGTTAAGCTTAATGGAGAAAGCAAGTACAGAGTACAAAACTGCAGCAGGGCCATGGTAATTACATAACATTTAGAGCCCAATGTCCTTTATGCAATCGTTTCTGTAACCAGCAGAGGGTTTACATTGTTCTGCTTAATTCATACATGCATTTCTAGCCCAGTTAAATTATGGGATTGTTTCTTAGATATTTTTGAATTAGGGTAATGTATCAGTTTCATAGGATTTTTACCACAATGTATCACAAACTGGGTGGTTTAAAACAACAAAAATTTATTTTCTCATAGTTCTGGAAGCCGCAAATATGAAATCACTGTGTGGGCAGGGCCATGAACCCTCTGAAGTACCTACAGACTATCCTTCTATGCCTGGCTCCTAGGTTCTGATAGCAGGCATTCCTTGTCTTGTAGATTAATCACTCCAATTTTTTGTGTTCACATGGAATCCTCCATATGCACCTACACATTGGCTTCTCTCTGCATATGCCTACCTGTGTCCAAATTTTCCATTTTTATAAAGACACCAGTCATCTTGATTAGGGCCTATCCTAAAAACCTCATTTTAACTTAACTACATTTGTAAAGACTCTATTTCCAAATAAGCGTATATTCTAAGTTACTGGGGATTAGAATATCAGCATATCTTGAAGGTAATCAACAGTTCAACCCATAAAGAGATAAATAACATCAAATCGATTTGAATAACAAAATTATTTTCTCATATACAAATGAAACTGAATGAAATGTATTGTAGTTTCCTTTTTTAAGTTTCTTGGGATGAGAATATTTTATTTTATTTTATTTTAATTTTATTTTATTTTATTTTTTGGTACCGGGGATCAAACTTGGGACCTTGCGCTTACGAGACAGATGGCAGAACCACTGAGCTAAATCCCTGGCCCAAACATATTTTATTTTTATAAGCACTTATGGGCAGCTGTTAACAGATTTGCAGGAACTAACACATTATTACTTACTTGATCACAGAAAAAATGAAAGGAAGTAAATTTTCATAATTATAAATATTCAAATATTAAAGATTTTGATTTTTCTGGAATGCTGAACATAGTCTGAAGGGGTTGGTATAGTATATATTGAATATATATCATGCAGAGAAGCAGCAAAATATTGCTGGGTATTATGGTACAAAGTAGAAAAATTTTCCTTAAACTATTTAATTATAAAATTTTATGTTTATCCAACTGAGATGCCAAAATAATAAGTTTTACATATTTTACATAGTAAGATATGTTTGAAGTAATATATTATTTCATGATGCATCCAGTTTCTTGTTTGAGACAGAATAAAGAGCTTTACTTTTTTTCTTTTTAAAATTTTAATTAGTATATGTTTGTGATACACAGTAATTATATTCATCATGGTGAACTGTTATATATAAATAGCTCATTATGATCATTTTTACTTTCTATGCCCTCCAGTCCTCCCTTCTCCTCTTTCACCAGATCCACTTCCCATCTCCATAGAGTCTACTGCCTTGTTTCTTAGCATGTCTTTATTATTTTGTTCTTTATTTTTGTATTGAGTCTCATTAGAGAAACTATGTAATATTTAACTTTCAATGTCTGAAATACTTCACTTAGTATTATGGTCTCAAGGTCTATCTGTTTTCCTCCAAATGACTCAAATTAATCCCTCTTTATGAGTAGTTCTCCATTGTGTATATATACCACCTTTTCCTTATCCATTCATCTATTGGTGGACAGATAGGCTGCTTCCATCATTTAGCTATTGTGAATTGTGCTACTATGAAGAGCTATACATGTATCATTATAATATGATGACTTTAGATCTTTGGTAAAGATATCCAGAAGAGGAATAGCTGAATCAAATGGAATTTCTATTTTTCAGTTTTCGAGAATTCTTGTATTGATTTCCATGCTGGTCATGATAGTTTAAATTTTTCCACAACAATGTAGAAAAATGTTCCTTTAGCCTCAAAACCTCACTAGCACTTGTTTTTTGAATCATTAATAATAGCCATTCTTACTGGAGTAAGGTGGAATCTCAGTGTTCCTTTCATTTGCATTTCTCTAATGGGCAAATATATTGAAAATTCTTTCTTGTACTCATTGGCCACTTGGACTAGTCCTTTTGTGATATGGCTATTAATTTCAATTGCCTATTTTTATTGGGTTTTTAATTTTGAAGGATCTAAATTTTTAATGTATTATGCATAGTAGTTCTCTGTCAGTGGAGTAGCTAGCAAAATTTCTTTTATCCTATTCTGTAGGTTATATCCTTACTTTGTGGGTTATTTGCTGCATGGAAACTTTTTAATTTGGTACAGTCCCATTTGTTACTTCTTGATATTATGTCTAGTGCAATTGGGGTTCTATTTAAGAAGTCTTTAGCTGTGCTTCTGACTTTAAGAGTTTTATTAGTTTTTCTTCCAGGAAATTCAGTTTTTCTGTTCTTCTATCTAGGTCTTTGATCCATTTTCATGTGATTTTAGTATAGGGTGAGAGATATGGATCAGAATTCATTCTTCTGTACTTGAATAACCAATTTTTCCAGTACTATACGTTAAAGGGGCTGTCTTTTCTTCAGCATACATTATTGGCCCCTTTGTCAAAAATCAGATAGCTAAAGGTAATTTGGTTAGTTGTTCATCCTCTATTCTATGCCATTGGTCAACATTTCTGTTTTTGTGTCAGCACCATGCTATTTTACTACCGTTGCTTTGAAGTATAATTGAAGTTTGGGATGATAATGCTTACTGCTAAGTTTTTGTTATTCAGATTGCTTTAGCTATTCTAATTCTCTTCTGGTTCCATATAAATTTTAAAATGTTTTTCCCACTTCAGTGAAAAATGCTAATGGAATTTTGAATGTAATTACATTGATATTATATTATCATTATTGATAACATGATCATTTTGACAATATTTTTCTCCCTATCCAAGAATAATGTATGCCTTTTATTTTCTAATGTCCTCTTCAATTTCTTTTTTCAGAGCAATATGGTTTTTATTATAGAGGTATTTTATTTTTGAGGTTAGATTAATTCCTAAGTATTTAATTTTTTGAAACTATTGTGAATGGGATTGTTTTCTTCATTTCTTTATCAGTGGGCTCCTTTATTCTGTATAGTAACACTATTGAATTTTGTTTGTGTATTTTGTGTCCTACCATTTTGCTGCATTCAATTATTAGTCACAAAAGTCTCCCATGAAAAATTTTGAATTTCCTATGTAAAGGATTATGTCATATGCAGATAATGAGAGTTTTGACTTCATCTTTTCTTATCCAAACCCTTTTATTTTCTTTCTCTTGCCTGATTGCTTTAGATAAGTTTTTGAGTACTATATTTAAAAGGAGTGGTGGGAGTGGAATTTTTGTCTTGTTCCTTTTTTTAGAGGGCATACTGTCAGTTTTTTCTCATTTAGTATGAGGTTGGCAATAGGTTTGTCATAAATGGCTTTTATCAGCTTACAATAAGCCCATCTATACATATTTTTCATCAAGGATTTTTATCATGAATGGATGTTTAATTTTGTCAAAAGTATTAACAAAGCAGCTATTGAGATGATCATATGGTATTTGTTCTTACTTCTGTTTATGGGGTGTATTACATTAACTGATTTGCATGTATTGAACTATTCTTACATCCCTGGGATGAAACCACCTTGGTCATGATGTATAATTTTTTTAATGATTTGTTGTACTTCCTTAGTAAGTATCTTACTGAGGATTTTTGCATCTGTGTTCATTAAGGGACTTGGCCTGTAGTTTGTTGTTGTTGATTCCTTGTCCAGTTTAGGTATTAGGGTAGCCTTTCAGGAATAAATTTTGTAGTTCTCCTTCCCTTTCAATTTCATGGAAGAGTTTGAGGATTACTGACATTAATTCAGTTCTGCCCTGAAGTTTTGGTAAAATTCTGTGGTGAATCCATCAGGTCCTGAGATTTTCTTTGTTTGTAAGGTTTTTATTTTTGCCTCAGTTTCATTGCTTATTATTGGCCTATTTGGGGTTTTTGTATCTTCTTGGTTCTATTTTGGTAATTCACATTGTAACAGCAATTTATGCATATTTTCTAGGATCTTCAATTTATTGGAATATAAATTTTGAAAAAAAATGCAATATAAATTTTGATGTAGTTTCTTATACTCTTCTGGATTTCAGTAATGTCCATTGTGATTTCAAATTTTTTATTTTAATTGAATTGATAATGGACTTTTTCTATCTTTTAGCAAGTTTACCTAAGGGTTTATAAATTGTTTTATACTTTTGAAGAACAAAATCTTAGATTCTTTGATGTTTTATA